TAAGATATTTTCCAATCAATTAGATCTTGCACGAATTTTTTGATTTGCTAGTTGTTCATGGACTCATAATATGCTCATAAAATGAAATATTTGATTTTACTTGATTATTCTACTATTTAAATTGATTTATTTTGATTTAAATGGATAAAAAATCAAAATAAATAATAAAAATAATAAAATAATAGATGGATAAGCTCAGGGTTCTTAGGCCATCTTAGGAACAAGTTTCAAACAAGAAAACATGGGCCCATTTGGAAAAAAAGTCATTTTGATCAATGTTGACTTCATGCACATTTCCAAAAATTGGTCAATTTTGACAATACATATCTCCATCAACTTTAATCCTAAGAGGGTGTTATTGGACTTTTTAGAAAGCTTAGGATGTCCCCTAAGCAACCCTTTTATTTTCATCTCAATTGGGTCTTCCATGTTCGTGTAAGAAGCTTTGACCCAAAAAGTGTTTTTGTTGACTTTTCAAAAGGACCTATAATGTAGAAATTCATATCTTTTGATGAGTGCATATTTTGAACTTGGGGGATGAATATGAATTGTATGGAATTTCATCATGTTCAAAATGAGCCTTAGATGGAAAATTTCTGATAAAGTATGAAGAAGTTATGCTTGGTCAAAGTTTGGTTGACTTTTCTTGAGAAACACTAATTTAACAACTTTTGGGTTTTGATGAATTTGGGGCATTCCTTGAGGAATCATGATCAACCCTTGATAAAATGATGGATATCACTTCAAAATGTTTATGTTGATCAAAAATCTTGAAGTTTGACTGTATGTGGGCCACAGTTGACTTTTGGCCTAGTATAGTTTATTTTCAAGCATCTGGGTAATTGACTGAGCAAACTTCTTGTGCAAGGCATGAAGCTTGACATGGATGATCTTGAGAACATATTAGGACCATGGAGGGCATCTGGGACCTTTGTATCTCCCCCACCCTGATGAAAATGGAAACCCTAATTTGAGGTACATTGCCTTAGGAGGGAGTTTGTCTAATCAACTCTTGGGCATCCTTGAGCAAGTTGAGGACCTCAATGGGCATGTGTTGAGTAAAATGAGAGGGCAAATTTTGGGGTACAACAGTTTCCTTCTGTGGTATTGCTTTTGTGAAATATGCTTGTCTCCAATACTATGTGTGTTTCCATCTATGGTATTGCCTATGGGCAATATGTTGGTTTCAATGTTCTATGTGTTTCCATTTGGTGTACTGCCCGTGTGCAATATGTTTTCATCTGATATGTGTGTTTCCACTGATTGTGTACATTTACTCCAACTTTTATCAATATTTTGGTTTAAAAGGGGGAGTAAAGTGTTGTGTTACTGCTTTGTGTTCTGATGTTATATCATATGTCTTGACATGTTGATTAACATTATGATAGGATTGTGTGCTACTGCTTTTGAGAGAGTAGCTGTTTGTGGTTGTTTATGCAACTATTCAGGAGGAGAATGAGTATTCATGCTTGGTTGTGTTGAAGTTATTGTTGTTGCTTTTGCTGCATGTGCTCTGATTTGAGGGTTTTCCCTTAAGAGGGAGAATTAATTGTGTATGACAGGGGGAGTAACAAGACTTGTCTGATTGTACAAGATTTTTAGTTGTGTTATATTTTTATAGAGTTTACATGGTTTCGTGTAACTTGTGTTTGTGGTTTTATTCATATCTCCAGATTTTTTGCAAATGTTGTTTTAGCCAAAATTTGTCAAAGGGGGGGATTATTAGGTATGTGATTTTGTGGTTGGCAACAATTTTGGTAAAACAAGTAGTTGACAATAATTTTATCAAAACTTGTTTCTTTGGGAAAAACATGTATTACAGCCTAATATTGAACAAGATGTCATAATATCTTGACTAGCTGGTACAACATAGTCTACTGGTACTTATTTAACAGATGTTCTATCAAATTTCATAGCATATTACAACAAAACATCATGACAGTACAACTAGATTATTTTTGTTGAAGATTTGATTGAAAGATATGAGATTCTGGAGGTTTCTAGTACGCATAACTGGCGCAGGAAATCAAGGAGTTTTAGAAATAATTGCATATTTGATTTGTTTCATGAAAAGGATCTTTGAGACTTTTTAAGAGATACTTGAAAGATTTGTTTTTTGTTTCTATTTTTATGTAGAAGATTTTGCAGGGATTTAATGTTGAAGATTTGATTTATTTGAAGAGTCCAAGCCCAACTGCAAAAGTCTATATAAGGAGACATCCATGACCTAGTTTTAATAAGCATATTTTTATTGTAAAACCTTGTGAAAATTAAGTGTTTAGGGTTTGAGAGTTTCTTATTTTCTCCATGTGTTTTTGTACGTCCTCATATATCTTTTGATGCATTTGAGTTGACTGATTGTTACTTGTTTATCAATTTATTGCTCTCCTCTAAGCTTTTAAGCAAAGAGTTGAGTATTGTTCTTAGTGAAGCTTTTAAGCAAACTAAGTATTTTGTTTTGGAAGAGCATTCTTACTTTTTGGTTTCTTGCGACATTCCCTGGGATTGGGATTGTTATTTGATATCACTGTGGTGATTGTGAGTGAGAGGAGTTCTCATATCTAGGAGGTTCCTAGGTAGAAATTACATTGGGTAGAGATTATGTAAGAAGTGTAAACTGAGATTGTTTAGCTTAAAAATGATATTCTTGATAGTGGATTTCTTTCCTGGCTTGGTAGCCCCCAGAGTAGGTGAGTTTCACCGAACTGGGTTAATAATTGATTGTGTTTTTTAAGTTTTTGTAATGTACTTTTCTGCACAAATTTTCTGTTTTTAGAAATTCAGTTGTCTATCAGCAGATGTTATAACATCTATTATGATATTGTATGTTGTTGAGACACCAGTCTTGACTTCTGATATTGTGTGCCAGAATTTCATATTCCATTTCAGAGGAAACCTTCACCTCTTGAGGAGATAATCAACAAGTTCATCTAAGAAACTCAAAGAAATTTTGAGTAGGTAAGCAAACAACATGAGATCATGAGAAAAACCATGATGCATCCATAAAAAATTTAGAAATGCAGATTGGTCAATTATCGCATCAGGTGACGGCTTTGCCAAGTTCTAGCAGAGCCTTTATTGGTAACACGGTTGACAATCCTAAGAATGAAACCTGTAAAGCCTTAAAATTAGGATTTGGAGTGAACGCAAACCTGAGAGATGAGATAGTTGAAGAGGTTATGAATGCAGAGGAAGAGGTAGAAGTTAGGAAAGAGAAAAAGGTGAGTGAAAACATGAGTGACTATTCCGTGAGAGGAGTTACACTTGATCAACTTATATATAGAAACTCACCCTTGAGAAGGACTAAGAAACATATTTTGAGTGATCCTAGTACATAACTACCCGACTATATTAAACCACCTTATCCGATCATCAGGAAGAAACCAAAGGTTAAAGATGAGGCATGGTTATTTGAAAAGTTTTAAGAGATGCTTGCTAAGCTTCAGGCGAATATTTCATTTATAAACACTTTCATTTTGAGATATAATTTTGATGTGGGACTATAATGCTTCAAAACACATACCAGTTATAGCAACATTTATAAACACTTCATTTTTATTTTCCATAACAACCCAAACTTTATATACAGAGCTTTGAATGATAGTAATATCCAGATGTAGCATATTAAACTCTTACTATTGAATCATTATTGATACCGAATGAATGTAGGTATAGCTATTAAATTCTTACTATTCATGTCTAGAACAACAAGTTATAGCAATATCATGCAGCAGAAAACTACCACATCGTGAACCGCATAATCCATGTGAAACAGTTTTGAAGGAGGTGCCATAATAAAACCTTCTTCTCTCACATGTTATAATATGTTGTAGAATAAAACAACGTGGATTTGTATTATATATATATATATATATATATATATATATATATATATATATATATATATATATATATATATATATATATATATATATATATATATATATATATATATATATATATATAGAAAGAGGGGTAAGTAGGTATGTGATGACAATATGTTAGATATATTGTTTTTATATTCACTACGCCAAAAATAAGTTACGAAAGCGCTTTTTTTGGCCTTTAAAAGCGCTTTCTAAGGTGGCGCTACTATAGGTTTTAGCAGCACTTTTTGTTTAATGAGAAGCGCTTTCATAGGTCTACCTAAGGCAACACTTTTTTCTGGAAAAGCGCTCTCATAAGTTTTCTTTTAGCAGCGCTTTTTTCTGGAAAAGCGTTGTCTTAGGTAGGCTTTTAGCAACGCTTTTTTCAGGAAAAGCGCTTTCATAGGTGGTCTTTAGCAGCGCTTTTGCCTGGAAAAGCGCTGTCATATGTTTACCTTAGACAGCGCTTTTTGTGAAAAAGCGCTTTCATAGGTTACCTAAGGTAGCGTTTTTCTTGATACAGAAAAAAGACTGATTTTAATTATATGGATGCAAATAAAATAGGATCATCTATTTGGTTATAAATAGAGTTGTCCAATTAGAAACATTAAAACTGAACAAAACCAAAAAAGAAAGAAAAAAAGGTGACAACGTGATGCTGTAATTAAAGGGTAAAATCAGTTATTCATAGTTTTCTTAAACAAATATTCCAAATTATACAATTATAAAATACAAATTTTACATCGTCATTACTGAAAAAATCACTAAAATGTCTACCGAAGACTATCTCAAGCCCGCCATATGAAATCAGTTTCTTCACAACAACAATACAATATAATCCATAAGGCATATGACTTAAGAATTGATGAGTAGCTTACTTGACCAGGATAATAAAATGGTAACTCGTACTGCAAGAAACATGAAACAATTAAATAAAAGTTAGCACAAGAATATCTTTACTTTCTAATATTCCAATGAAACACACATAAAAAAAATCGCAATCCTACCATGCCCTCTTTGTAGTCCTTGCCTCTTTTCCTCCTACCAGGGTAATAATCTTGGTCTAGCTGTCACATTCATATCAAAGTTAGCATTAACAATCCACATAAACCAAAGAAAAAAAAATCATGAATGCTAGTTGCATTTTCCAGACCCTAACATATATTGTGGCCTGAATACTGCCAAACTGTCAAAAGTTTCTTCAATGTATTTCTCAACTCCAACATGACCAGCATCTGCTTTGACAGCATCCTGCTCCACAGTGGTTTTCAAACTTTAGACTGTAACAATTGTTATCAGCATAGTGATTTTAGAAAAGCGATATTAGGAATATTTAACACACCCCTTCAACATGAGGAGGTTCATCCGTTGGTTTGTAGATTCCGGCACTACTGATGAACAAGAATTGCTTGGCACCTGCACTCTTGGCCCAATCTATCACCGGCCTATAAGGAACAATCGAGATTAAGATGTCTGGCTTAGAGATAACAATTACAATGTCTGAAAAGTTTATGTTTCTTTAACAGTATTGCAGTATGCTGTTGGAAATATGAAACATTGGCATAACAAACATTAACACACGAGAATTCTAAACTTATGTTTGTGTTCTGTAAGTGTCGAACACCAGACATGTCTTTGATCTAAGAGTTGGTGCCATGCATGACATAACAAGATAACAAGATAACAAGTGAAGCAATGAACACAAGTTAACAAGAATTGATACAACAAACCTCGAAGCATCAAGATCCTTGCCATTTTTGTCCAAAACCACATCAAATGCTTCCCCTCCTACAACACTTCCTACATCTGCAGGACTCCCCCATACTGTACTGCCTCCAGCACTCACAATTTCCTGAATATTTTCAAAACAACATTGTTGAGCTTGAAAAGAACAATTCTTTCAGAAACAGTGTGAGAATAAGATTAAAGATCATTAATTGAGAATCTGTTAAAAGGAGGTTTCTTCATCTTATTTGAGCTTTCATCTCCAACGGCTCCGGAATCTCTCCCTTGATTTCAAACTGCTTCGTCAAATACTCATCTTCCGTCAATCTCATTTCTTCAATTTTCTTCTTACGGTACCTAGGGTTATACATTCTGAACGCTTCGATGGACTCCGGCAAACTGAGAGGAACCTCTTCACCTTCGTTGAGACTGTGACGTGGGAATTGGGCTTCGAGAGTGAGGATTTCATCCCAGGGAGCCCAGCCGCATTCGATCTAGTTGCGCTTTCGAGCTTCATCCTCGGATTCCTTGCTATTGGGGCCGAAGGTCTGGAGGAAGGTCTCGTCGACGGGGAACTCGTCGGAGGAGAAGGACTTTGCAACGATGGAGGGTGGTGGTTTTTGGAAGAGTAGAGGCGGAGGACTACAGTGGAAGTGGAAAAGGGGAGAGGGAGGGTTTAAGGGTTTAGGAAAAGTGAAGAGATAAGAATTGGGAAAGACTTGCATTATTACAATGCTCACACCACCTTGTGTTTTGATATTTATTATAAAACTACCTACGAAAGCGCTTTTAAAAGCGCTTTCTAAAGGTCATCTATAACAGCGCTTTTACATCAAAAAGCGCTTTCGTAGCATATCCTATAGCAGCGCTTTTAAAAGCGCTTTCTAAAGGTCAGCTTTAGCAGCGCTTTGGAAAAGCGCTTTCTAAGGCTGACCTTTAGCAGCGCTTTTGAAAAGTGCTTTCTTAAGGTACCCTCTGAAAGGCCAGCTTTAGCAGCGCTTCCCAAAAAGTGCTTTCTAAGGGTGACCTTTAGAAGCGCTTTTGAAAAGCGCTTTCTTAAGGCACCCTTTGAAAGCGCTTTTTTAAGTGATTTTTTTTTAAAACCTACAACAGCGCTTTTTTCTAAAAGCGCTTTCTTTTATGTGCTGCTAAAACTTATTTTTGGCGTAGTGATTGTACATGTAAACTGTTGTCATTCTCATGCAAAACAGAAAGAAAGTATTCATATATAATATCGAAAATGTGGCTCAATCAACCAACTTAGATTGCAATGAACTCATAATGTAATATTCAATGTAAACATACATAGTGTACATACATATTGTAATATACATACTATAATATTCATTGCAACCACAACAATCACATAGTCACGAACCAGTTTCCATCCTTCACGTAAATTTCAGAGTACCGTCTATTTTCTGCAGTTTTTGTTATTGCTACAACAAGGAATATGATGATAAAGTAGAATATGGAAGTTGTGATCAAAATCAACTAAACCAATAAGTGATTCTAATGGAATGTATTATCATTTTCATCAGAATAATGGCGGTGGTGTTATCATGGTACAAGACCCACTTCCATTGTTTATTAATGTGAAACATGGTACAATTAAGGTGGTGAGAGGAATATAGTGACGATGTTTCAACTCCAATGCATGTTATTACAGTGTGTGTAGTGTGAAGGAAATGTTGACAACCTTATTCTACTGTTTTCTTTACGTTGGTATTGTTCGCCGTAAACTTCATCACCACTGTGAGTTAAGAGCTAAAGTGGAAGAGTGTTAAAGAATGACGAATGATTTTGTCGAGCTAGAGAGGAAGAGAATGGAAGAAAGGATATTTCAGCAACATATCTGGGACTTTTATACTTTTATAGTCCCACATAGATTGGTATAATAACATATCTAGTCTTTATAAATCAATAAAAACTATTAACTAATGAATAAAACATGCATAGAGGAAGTGCGGGCTGCTAAATAACTGAAAATGGGTTTAGGCTCAAATATATTATTTTGATAATTTTAAAAAAATAGTATCTAAAAATATTTATAAAAATAATAATTTAAAAACACGTAAAAGTAATATAATATATAAAAAATAGCAAAATTAAATTTAAAAAATTAAATAATTCCACATGGCTTTCAAATATTTAATCAAAAATAAAATAATAATCCAGCTCCATTAAAAATAGAATCTAGGTTCAAGAAGGGGTATACTGAGATAATGGGGAGTTTGTATCTTTAATCATATTATTTTTTGTATGCTAATCAAAAGGAAGGTAGATATGAAAGTTATGGAATAATCACGCATACATAAGCTTGTATCGCACGCACAATGAGCATATAACACAGTGATAGCATGATTCACTGCCTATAAATTGAGATTTTCTGGTCAAATTGTATCGCACGCGCGATAGTGACCTTACAAGTTAACCGTTGAGATGATAGTTAGGATCCGATTGTTGGGAGTTTTCGTGGCATCGTGTGCGTGATGAGCATATAACACCGTGATAGCACGATTCACTGCCTATAAATTGAGATTTTTTGGTCATTTTCTCTCACACCATTTCTTTCCTCTTATCTCTCAAGCATGTTATTCTCTAATATCACACTTTCTATTATATTTTTTTTGCATTCTTTTATTTTTGTGTTGTTGGAGTGATATGGCTACAAATTGATAGATGCTTTTTCTAGACCTGGTGCAAAATGGGTGATTGAGAATAACGTTTTGTTGTGGCTTAAAACCGCCTATTTTCACCCAATTCCTAAAGCATTGACATCTTTCTTTGTGCAAACTTTAGAAGCCACATATAACCAATCTCATTATATAGTTATGTGGTGTTTATGAATTTTAGATGTTTTAAATGGTGAACCTATAAATTTAGGGTATTTAATTGCAAAAAATATTAAATATATGACTAACGTCGCACAACGAGCTTGTGGGCATTTTTGTATTATTAATGAATTGTATGGGTTAGCTAGTGTCCATACTCAACCTGGTTATGAAATGATAAGTCCTAAAGCATCAATAAATGCTTCACCGATCAGACGACTTCAACATCATTAATAGTTAATGGGAGCCCATCAAGAGCAAGGGAATAATCAAGCAAGAAATTATGAAGAATTCTACCAACCTCAAAATCAACATCAAGGAGCACAAATGCAAAATGATCAACATTTGAATTTCAAAGGAGAATGGAAGCTCGTGTAGTGGGAATAACAAGGTGGGTAATAGAACTTTCACCAATCCTGTATGTTGAACTACCATAACTTCAGAGGTAAAGAGAGAAGAAGAGAACATAAGAGAGCAGAATGGTCCAGATAAAATAGAGACTTCAACAACATAATGAGTGAGATGCAAGACCTTTTCCGCAATGATAAAATGTGAAAAGGAATATGTAGCAAGTTTCACTTTTTAAATTTTTATCAAGTTTTTATTATTATTTTTTAGGCAAAATACCCTTTTTAGTCCTTTAAGTTTACCCCAAGGTCCATTTTGGTCCTTTATCTAAAAAAAATATCAAACTGGTCCTATAATTCTTTCAAAAGGACCATAGGAGTCCTTTCCGTCCATTTTGGTCCTTTTTGGTTCATTGGAGAAGCTGCAAAATGAGCTTGATGGATCAAAGATAGAGATACATCATCTAAAGGAAAGGGAGGATGGGCTGAAACATAAGATAATGGAGTTACAAATTGAAATAAAGAAGGATGGGCTGAACCAAAAAAGACCAAAATGGGCGGAAAGGACTCCTATGGTCCTTTTGAAAGAATTATAGGACCAGTTTGACACTTTTTTTAGATAAAGGACCAAAATGGACTTTGGGGTAAACTTAAAGGACTAAAAAGGTTATTTTGCCTATTTTTTATGCCCAACAAAGAGTAATAGCTACTTATAAGTGTTCTTCCCTCATTGTATCAGTTTAGTTTATGCTTGGCTTTAACAAAAAAGTTTGCTATTGTTGCTTTCTTTTAGATTTACAAAAATTGCAACTTTAGTAATGAACAAATGAACCAAAAAAATCATCAGAAATAAGTTTGATCATCAGGAAAGCTCCTTGCGTATTGAGATTTGAGACTGGATGAAGAAAGGAACAACCAACTAACTTGTGCTTAATTTTCAGATACCTCAGCTAGTAAGGTTTGAGCCAAAAATTTCATTGTTTACTTTTCCTTCTTATGAGAGTATCCGTCCAATTGTTATTTTCTAGAATTTGCATTATTTATAATTTAATATATTGGTTTGATAAATACACACTAAGGCACTTGTTTGTGGTAAACTATGAGTTTTTCTAAACTAACTCGTATGTGATGTTTATATCATTTTCTAACCACTTTGAGCCTAAGCCCTTTCTTTCGATGACATAGCCAAATTATTAGCCGTTTGACTTGAAAGATTAAATCTTTCCACCCTTTTTTTAGAGTTAGGTAGAAAATTTAGTTCCTTTGTCATATGCAAAACAATAAGTATGGGGTTGCTCTTGGAAGTGAGCAAATTTTAAGTTTGGGGTTGGGGTACTAGAGATATTGGTCAAAATTTCAAAAAAAAAATTGAGAAAATAAATCAAGAAAAACCAAGAAGTTAAAATAACTTCTTCAAAAAAATAGAGAAAAAAATGATAAGGAACATAAAATGTTAATCTCTAGTACCTATTAAGTAAGCAAGAGTTAATATGATAAAGAATGTTATAGCATAAGGAAAATCGGGTACCTAACTCCAAAGGTTTAAGCATATTCTTCCAAACTATACTACCTTAACATAAGCCACATTACAACCTTTAAAGCCCCCCAATAGTGTGTCTTTAGATGACTTTGATTGATTTTGTTATAAATTTTAATAAATTATGGTAAAATACTTTTGTATGTTGATTCTTTGATTACCTTGTCAATACGAGTGAAATATTGGTGATAAGATAGATATGTTGAGTACTTATGTGTGGGAAGAAATTTTTTGATTTATCTTAATTGAATTCAAGAACATGAATGATTATCAGGTAACAAAAATATTGAATGGTGATGTTCATTTATTATTGTTGCAGTTTGTTTTTCTATTTGAAATATGCAGTTGCAGGCAAGTTACTTGAGGACAAGCAATAGATGAAGTTTGGGTTTATGATGACACTCTGATTACGTAAGTTTAGTCAAGAAATCAGAGCAAAACAAGTCATAGATGAGCAAATATGAAGTATAAAGTCCAAAGAAAGATGCAAAAATCATTAAGTATGAAGAAACGGGGACTTGGTAAAAATTGGATGGAAAAAGGAACAAAAAGAACAAAGTTACTGGAATAATCATGTGTTGCATCGCGCGCATGATAGGGTAGCACACACAGCATCGCTCGCGCGACAGGACGCATAACGCGCGCATTAGACCTTTTTTATGGACTTTTTCTGACGCATTCTGACTGTTTAAAAGGGGATTTTTGGCATCTTGTAGGGTTCTGCGAATTTTGACTGGAAGTGACAGAAAAGAGTACCAGAAGTGTGATTTAAAGAACAATTGGAAGCCAGATGTTCAAG